CACAGTGCCCAAGATTTATCCTTGTATCAAGTATGTTAAAATTGTTTCTGTAGATACACTTAATAATGACTTCGACCTGTAAGCAGCTGATGAAAAGCCAATGAAATAACCGTTGATGGTACCATATTATTTTGCAAAATCTGTTGTTGCTTTATTTAAAAAAGTAGAATTGATTGAAAAATTCAGATTTTCCTACAGCTTTCTGGCTTCTCTGCCTGAATAATTACTGCAACTGCAATACAAAGGAGATGCGTGCATATTATCTTCATCTAGTGTCTTTTTACTCTTGTAGAATGCTCTGAATCATGATCTCACTGAGAATGACTTATAAGTATAGATGAAACGTTTGTGGAGTCCTCAAAAATAAACTTATCCAAATTTTACTATTATGTAAAAAATGAACATATTGTACACTACTTTGTTTTAACCAAAAACTCTGTACTTCGAACTTCCCTCGAGTTTTGAATAAATATATAATTCTGCCTTCCACTCTCCGTCTTCTCCACCATCTCAACTGCCGTCGATCAATTATAACAACCTGCTTTCTATCTCGAATTTTTGCAGGATCACCGTAGCCTCCTTCTACGCACTTTGGTCGACCTCCGGCAACGTCAACTCTGGAGAATTAGAACTGGAGCAGTCTTCCCGCAGCACTTCTGGAATCCATTACGTTTATTGTGGAATTTGGATCTTTGTAAACCCAAGTAACAAAACTTTAATATATTCTTCCCGTAAACTCAATTGATTTGGTATTTTGTTTTCTATTTGAATTTGGATTAATAAGCTAACAGAGCAAAAGGTCCACCACAATAATTGGTGAGCCCGTTTTGGAACACGGATTTTTTTTCACGTATCTATATACTTATTTTTGCTATTTTGTACTTTCATTGCAATTTTTGTTGGTGGTCTCATATTTGTATTCCCCTTTGTACCAATATTCTCACACCTATAATGTCGTCACATACTCAGCCCGGTATATCAACTGAACAGAGATCTGGCAGCGAGGCACAGGCCACAATAAATGCCATATCTGATTTTCGGCTACCACAATACGGCTTTGCAGAGCCACGAATTTGGTTTGGAGTTGTCGAGCCGTTGTTGGAAGCACGGGGTATTAAATCTCAGATAGCCAAATATGGCGTCGTGCTGGCAGAACTTCCCCCGTCAGTATTAACGGAAATCAGTGATTTCATCGAAAACCCCCCTACGGAAAACCAATATGAAAAACTTAAAGCTCTTCTTATACAACGGACCAGTTTGTCAGACGAGAAAAGGATCCAACAATTACTCACAGGCTGCGAGCTAGGAGCGCGTAAACCATCCCAGCTCCTTAGACATATGCGCCAGTTAATAGGAAACCATAAAGTTGATGAGGTTGTGCTGAGACAAATGTGGTTGCAACGTTTACCCAGGAACGTTCAACAAATTTTAATCATCTCGGGAAAGTCGTATGATTTAGACTCACTAAGCGACATGGCAGATAGTATTGTAGATGTTTTATCAGACAACACCATAGGTCAGATTGCATCTGACAGTGCAACACCATCTCAGTCCACACCTACGGCAGACACACCAATACTCGCCGCCATTGCAGACTTAGCGGCAAGGATTGACAAGTTGGAAACAAAAAGATCTGATCGACGAGTCCAGAGGTGGAGTTCACGAGCAAGGTCACCATCACATAGACGATCTCTCTCCCGACAGCGTTCCCGCATGTCTTCTAGGGATAGTAATATATGTTGGTATCATAGGAAGTTTGGACGTCATGCTCTGAAATGTGTCAAACCGTGCATCTTTAGTGAAGAGAATCAGGCTCAGGGAAACGTCTCAGCCAGACAGTGATGGCGACAGCTGTTACTGGCAATCATTCAAGTCGCCTTTTCTACGTGAGGGACAAAACCACAGGCACATTATTCCTGGTAGACACAGGAGCCGAAGTTAGTGTAATACCTCCTTCACTCTCCAGGCGATCTTCTAGTACAGCTGCAAAACTTTCACTTCGAGCAGCTAACCAAACTAGCATACGGACTTACGGTGAACAATCACTTATTTTGGATCTGGGTTTACGTCGTCGATTTACATGGATATTCATAGTAGCTGATGTTAGTCATGCCATATTGGGTGCCGATTTTTTAAGCAATTTCAATCTGCTGGTTGATGTCAACAAGAAAAAGCTGATTGATAACTGCACCCAGCTTCAAGTCCACGGAATCATCTCAAACTACTCTGTTTATAACATATGCATCGAGAAGCCAGATGACTGCATGTTTTCTGCATTACTGCATCGTTTCCCAAAAATTTTAAAGCCATCTTATAATATTGAAGATGTTCCTCATTCTGTCACGCATAAAATTGTCACAACTGGTCAACCCGTCAGAGCACGTCCTCGTCGACTACCACCTGATAAGTTAGCAGCAGCCAAAGCTGAATTCGAACACATGATGCAATTGGGCATCATCCGACCATCCAACAGTCCATGGTAAGTGAAGCAGAACAAGCTGCAGGCAAAGGAAACCTCGCAACACTCTACCAAACAACTAGGTACTTATCGGGCAAACGTTTGACACAAATCAAGCCGGTGAAGGATGACAATGGAAAGTCACTCACCAAAGAAGTGGAGCAAAATGAAACACTGGGCTGAACAATTCAAAAGACTCCTAAATCGACCACCAGCTACAACGCGCCCAACAATACCAACGACGGAGATAGAGCTACCAGTGAACACCAACCCCCCCCCCGACGAAATCAGAAGTCCTGAAGGCAATCAAGATGCTAAAAGCTGGAAAAGCAGCAGGACCATATGGAATCCCAGCAGAAGCATTGAAAACGGACCCAGAGACAACAGCAGACTTGATGACGCCACTACTGGAGAAGGTGTGGAAAGAAGGCAAAGCACCCGAGGATTGGAAGAAAGGATACTTATTCAAACTACCAAAGAAAGGAGACTTAAGTCAATGCAAGAACTGGCGCGGAATTATGCCAAGCAAAATACTAAGCCGCATCATCCTGGAGAGAATCAAACATGCCCTGGATGAAAAACTTCGACCGGAACAGGCTGGATTCAGGAGAAACAAGTCATGCATTGATCAAATCGCCACATTACGGATCATCATTGAACAAAGCTTGGAATGGCAGTCACCCCTCTATCTCAACTTCATCGACTTTGAAAAGGAATTCGATAGCGTCGATCGAGAGGTGATTTGGAAACTACTTCGCTACTACGGGGTGCCACCGACAATTATACATCTCATCTAACAGCTGTACAACAATGCTGAATGCCAAGCAATCCACAATGGGAAAATTACGAAATCCTTCGAAGTGAGGACAGGAGTAAGATAAGCTGGCTGCCTACTATCGCCAATGATTTTCCTGATTGCAGTAGATTGGATAATGCGACAAACAGCGGCGGGCAATGAGGAAACAGGCATAAAATGGACACACACAAAGAACTTGGAGGATCTGGACTTCGCCGATGATATATGTCTGATCTCCTACAAATTGGAAGACATGCAAACGAAAAGCAACAAGTTAGCAGAAGAAGCATTAAAGATAGGACTTCAGGTGAACATAGAGAAAACAGAGGTGATGAAAATTCCTGGGCAACACCACCAAAAGCGACAACAACAACAGACAACAATCAGCATAAATGGGAGGAACCTGAGAGAAACAACCTCCTTCACCAACCGACGTCGGAAGCATCGTTTCAACTACAGGCGGACAGAAGCGATGAGGATATCAAAGCAAGAATCGGAAAAGCAAGACAAGATTTCACTACTCTCAAGTCTGTGTGGAGGTCGACAACACTCAGCATCAAAACGAAGATAAGATCCGGATTTTCAACTCCAATGTGAAGTCAGTGCTACTTAACATACGGATCAGAGACTTGCACTGCGCGTCATAAACAGCATCCCAAGCAAACTACAGACCTTCATTAACAGCTGTCTTCGCTCAATACCACTCAAGATCAGATGGACGGCCAGAAAAGATCAGCAACAGGGATCTTTGGGAACGAACCAACAAAGCAGGAACCGATTGCGAAACAAATAGGCAGGAAGAAATGGAGATGGATTGGCTGGCCATACTCTGAGGAAATAAACCATCAAGTGACATCACTAGACAAGCCAGTGCTCGAGTGGAACCCGAAAGGGAAGCGGCTAATTGGTCGTCATTGCAAGGGTGACCTGGAAGAGAAAATGTGAAGAGCAGATGAAAAAGTATGGGCAGAATTGGAGACAGGTAAATAATTAAGCAGAAAAAGGAATGCAATGGAGACGGAAGGATCAAGCACTATTTATATGTAGGAATTAAAGGACACAAAAATAATAATATATGGTCCTAATGAATCAGTGATAAAAAACCAATGAGTGCAGAAAAATGGATATATATATATATATAACTATTAAGTTATAAGAACACAACTTCCTATAATTAAATAGACTCAAGACTGAAACGTAAGCCAACTTCGATCAGAACAAACTGATCTGAAGTTATTCTATAGACGTAGGGAGCGTATAACACGACAAAAGCTAAAATTAAACAAGAGCGTTGAAAATTCATTCCCTTTTCAAGGTTCTATTTCCACGGGAATGAACAGCTTTTGACTGAAAGTCGTTCGTCATGAATGTAATTCTCCGGGCATCTCAATAGCTTTACTCACAACCGCGACTTTATTTCTTCACAGGACTTCACAGAAATCAGCCGACTGACTAAATGCTTCATTATGGATAAGATTTTATTTTGATAAATCACAAAGCGTTGTAGAGTTATATTAACTGTACAACACTGTTTGATTTACCAAAATAAAATCTTATCCATAATGAAGTTATACTCTACCACAGCGCCCAAGTTTTCTACTTATATTAAGTAGATGCTTCATTCACTCATCTGGAGACAAAGTGAGTGCTACCGTACACTTGTATTTAGAAAAGAGCTCTACAATACCACAAAAAAGCATATATATTGGGGGGATACTCGCCGTACTATGTATCACACGGGAAAATACTCTGTCAATAAACACTGATAATTAGCCTTGGACATATTGAACGATATTGTTTTAATGCTCGGACATCCGCATCGTTATCTGCACTTTACGTTGCTGTCATCCGGACTCCACTTCCAAGTTTTTATGTAAGTTGTTGAGTGGTGGTTTGGGTATGCAAAATTGGTCGGAATTACTAATTAGTGTGTCTTTAGACTGGGTGCCCATCCTGTTTCATGGTTGAAGGCTGTAATCATCCACAGGCAGATGGTAGTTGGTGTCACCGAAAATGGCTATCAACATCAATCGAGAGGTTGAAGATACCTTTTACAGGTACAAGATGCCGAAGCTTGCTGCCAAGGTAAAGCTAGATATGACAACCACAAGCCATAACCTTGTAGGTGGAGGGGAAAGGAAATGGTATAAAAACGGTCATCGTTAATGTCTCGGACATAGCGAAGGCATTGTACCGGAAACCCATATGTATGTCGCAAAGTCTACTAACTTGATGGCTTTAGATCTCACGAAGTTCTTTGGATGCGAGCTAGGGGCACAGATCCACGTAGACGAGAAGAATGAACGCTATATTGTCAATGGAGCCCACCAAGCAGATAAGCTGCAAGAACTACTAGATGGTTTCATTAAGAAGTTTGTTTTGTGTCAAAGTTGTGGGAATCCGGAGACCACTATGGTTAGCTCTTCCGTTTAGTAATCACTGACGCTTTTATAGCATGTTAACAAAAGAGGCGGTACGGTTGCTACCACGTGCAAAGCGTGTGGCAGTCAGGGACAGCTAGATGTCACCCACAGACTGACTCAGTTCATTGTGAAAAATCCTCCAGAGCCAGAAGTTACTTCAGCCAAGGCAAAGCAAAAGAAGGGGAAAAAGACAAAAGGAGAGAATGAAAAGACTTCAGGTAACAGTGCTAGGTTAACCATTACGTTTTCAGACGACGACAACGAGGGCAACGCCGGTGGTGGTGATGAGAACAACCGCAACAGTCCAGTTAACGCTGACGAAGAAGATGAGGATGAAGACTGGCTGGAAGACACTACTGAGGAGGCACGACGTCAGAGGATGAGCACCTTGTCAGCTATGGCGAAGTCGCTAGCTCTGTGTGACGATGTAGAACGCTCTGAAACTGAGAGAGCTGATATTTTCTTCAAACATTTGTCCCAAATGTACCAGTCTGGCGAAGTCCTGTCACGTCGTAAAGAGCTAAAGTTGGAGGCTGATCGTCTTAGTCTCGGTCCACGTGCTGTGTTGGTTATTGCTGAAGTGCTGTTCAACAACCCTTCTACCATACTAGGTGATATTAAGAAGTATTCTCCACTACTACTACTCTTCACGCGGTCTGGTGAAGATCAGAAACGAGCTCAGATGTACACGTGGGGTGCAATGGCAAAGCTCATCGAGAGGCACGCAGATCAAAATCTGATCAGCAAAGCATGTCATCTCCTGAAAGCTTTGTATGATAACGACATTATCGAAGAGGATGTTATTCTGGCATGGTACGACAAAGGGGTAAGTCGCATATTTGTGTTATCTGACAAAAATTTCAGCCATCTAAAAAGTTCGTATCTCGTGAATTGAGTGCTAAGATTCTATCTCGCTGCGCACCCATGGTGACATGGTTGAGACAAGCGGAGGAGGAAGAGTCAGAAAGTTCCGACGAGGAGACTGAGACCAGTAGCCCAAAGGTATGTGTTTTCCCTGATTTGCTGATGTCTTTAGGTGCCCCAACCAACTAATGGTGTGAATGGCACAAGTGCCGTTGCTACCAACGGGACAGACGCCGAAGAAGACGATGTTGACATCGATGCTATTTAAACCCTGCTTCCGTGTTGCCGCATAGTTTTAATTGACCTGCCCTCTGTGGCTTCGGCTTTTCTTTTATGTTTTCACTGGGTTTATTCGAATAAATGTACTTCATAATCCCATGATTGTCATTTTGCCCTTTGGTAAATAGCTTGAGCTGTGTTGTTCGGTTCGTTTGTGTAGGAGTTATTGCTGTATGTATCAAGTGTCAGATGAGTGCTCATACTCAGACGGGTTAATTGCGTACCATGAGTGGTGTGTTTCTTGTGATCGCTCGCTACTTCTTCTGACGTTCTCGACGGATTTGATTAGTTATTTTTTTAATCACATGGGAACTTGAGGTATACGTAAGCTCCGAACGAGTTGGTCGCTCACAAAACCTAGATTTTTGCTGTTGCCGTATTGAGCATGGAATTTATAGGTGGTTGTATGTGCCGTTAATATCTTCGTCGACTTAGGCATTAGTTCCTAATGTCCCGTGAAGCTGATGTGTTACTTTTGTTATTCCACAGCGTGTATACCCCAAGGTAACAGATAGCAGGATCCCTGTCATTTTTATTTGTTCTTGGTGGAGCTGCTCTAGGAGTCCTCCAATGCCTACCACGCCTGAAGAACTCCACTTTATTATTTAACGTCCGTGCTTGTTTCTCGCCAGTAGCTACGTTTCCGCACCATAAATATTGTGAAATTGACATAACATTATGACACACTCATTTGATGGCCCAAGGCTCTACTAAGTTTGGTTTTCTCCCCTAACTCTTCTTTGTTTCCTGTTGAGTGCCGACGTTATCCTGACCTGAGAAGGTTCAGTCTTTGTTTAGAATTTGTAGGTCCAGTGTACTTGTGGGAGATCTTGATGCACTTAGGAAGCCATGGGATGCTCCACATCAAGATAGCTGTGTGAAACACAGAAATAGAACAGACGAGAGACAACATGCGAGCACTCAATGGCGCTATTCGGAACAAGCAGAGAGTGGGAGATCGGAGCATGTTCAACCATAAAAGTGAAATGTGGTTTGTCAAGATAGCACAGCCCTCTGTCACTGTTCTTTATTCCTAAATTACACGCAACTGACCGAATGGTTACTGACTCTCATTGAGATCCTTGGGGGTATGTACTTACACTGTATATTTGGCCTAGTATATGCAGACTCATTGATGTTGGGTTGGAGTAAGTAGCGCTCTTTAAGAAAGCAGTTGTAGTTTGTATACTGTATCGATGACCCTAGCCACGTCATCGATGTCTGAGTAATGGTCGTTCTTCTCTTGTGGTGGAAGACCCTTGCAGTCCAGGAGCTTTAGAGCCCCATTGAGAGTGACTATGGCTTCCGTTATACGAAACTTAGTCTTACTACAGCAGTCATTGCACAGCCAGTTCGCCAACGCTTGTATGCTGCAGGAGTTGGGCTTGTGCACCTACTATGGAACCACCTCTTGCAGTTATCACACTGTATTCCTCCTTCAACCGGAAATTGGCATATCACTATTGCACAGCGCTTCCTTTTGACAAGCATGCTTTTCAGAGTGAATTGGGACAGAGAGATTCAAATGGGACTTTATATATACATATATGTATACATGGTCCTCATAAATCAGTGATAAAAAACCAATGAGTGCAGAAAAATGGATATATATATATATATAACTATTAAGTTATAAGAACACAACTTCCTATAATTAAATAGACTCAAGACTGAAACGTAAGCCAACTTCGATCAGAACAAACTGATCTGAAGTTATTCTATAGACGTAGGGAGCGTATAACACGACAAAAGCTAAAATTAAACAAGAGCGTTGAAAATTCATTCCCTTTTCAAGGTTCTATTTCCACGGGAATGAACAGCTTTTGACTGAAAGTCGTTCGTCATGAATGTAATTCTCCGGGCATCTCAATAGCTTTACTCACAACCGCGACTTTATTTCTTCACAGGACTTCACAGAAATCAGCCGACTGACTAAATGCTTCATTATGGATAAGATTTTATTTTGATAAATCACAAAGCGTTGTAGAGTTATATTAACTGTACAACACTGTTTGATTTACCAAAATAAAATCTTATCCATAATGAAGTTATACTCTACCACAGCGCCCAAGTTTTCTACTTATATTAAGTAGATGCTTCATTCACTCATCTGGAGACAAAGTGAGTGCTACCGTACACTTGTATTTAGAAAAGAGCTCTACAATACCACAAAAAAGCATATATATTGGGGGGATACTCGCCGTACTATGTATCACACGGGAAAATACTCTGTCAATAAACACTGATAATTAGCCTTGGACATATTGAACGATATTGTTTTAATGCTCGGACATCCGCATCGTTATCTGCACTTTACGTTGCTGTCATCCGGACTCCACTTCCAAGTTTTTATGTAAGTTGTTGAGTGGTGGTTTGGGTATGCAAAATTGGTCGGAATTACTAATTAGTGTGTCTTTAGACTGGGTGCCCATCCTGTTTCATGGTTGAAGGCTGTAATCATCCACAGGCAGATGGTAGTTGGTGTCACCGAAAATGGCTATCAACATCAATCGAGAGGTTGAAGATACCTTTTACAGGTACAAGATGCCGAAGCTTGCTGCCAAGGTAAAGCTAGATATGACAACCACAAGCCATAACCTTGTAGGTGGAAGGGAAAGGAAATGGTATAAAAACGGTCATCGTTAATGTCTCGGACATAGCGAAGGCATTGTACCGGAAACCCATATGTATGTCGCAAAGTCTACTAACTTGATGGCTTTAGATCTCACGAAGTTCTTTGGATGCGAGCTAGGGGCACAGATCCACGTAGACGAGAAGAATGAACGCTATATTGTCAATGGAGCCCACCAAGCAGATAAGCTGCAAGAACTACTAGATGGTTTCATTAAGAAGTTTGTTTTGTGTCAAAGTTGTGGGAATCCGGAGACCACTATGGTTAGCTCTTCCGTTTAGTAATCACTGACGCTTTTATAGCATGTTAACAAAAGAGGCGGTACGGTTGCTACCACGTGCAAAGCGTGTGGCAGTCAGGGACAGCTAGATGTCACCCACAGACTGACTCAGTTCATTGTGAAAAATCCTCCAGAGCCAGAAGTTACTTCAGCCAAGGCAAAGCAAAAGAAGGGGAAAAAGACAAAAGGAGAGAATGAAAAGACTTCAGGTAACAGTGCTAGGTTAACCATTACGTTTTCAGACGACGACAACGAGGGCAACGCCGGTGGTGGTGATGAGAACAACCGCAACAGTCCAGTTAACGCTGACGAAGAAGATGAGGATGAAGACTGGCTGGAAGACACTACTGAGGAGGCACGACGTCAGAGGATGAGCACCTTGTCAGCTATGGCGAAGTCGCTAGCTCTGTGTGACGATGTAGAACGCTCTGAAACTGTGTTATTATTATTGTTCCTTTGGGTTCCTATTGGAACATAGGGCTTCAACTGCACGCCTCCACTTGCTTCTGTCTTGTGCTGTACTTTTCACTTGCGTCCATGTTATTCCATACTGTTCCATCTCCTCCTCACACGATCTCCTCCATGTCACCCTTGGACGTCCCACTCGGCGCTTCCCTTTCAGGTTCCACTCGAGGGCTTGACGCGCGATGTCACTCAACCGCCTCCTCAGCGAGTGTCCAATCCATCTCCACTTCCTCCTGCATATTTGTTGGGCGATTGGTTCCTGTTTCGTTTGTTCCCATAGCTTCTTGTTTGTGATTCTTTCCGGCCATCTAGTCTTCAGTATGGAGCGAAGACAGTTGTTGATAAAGGTCTGCAACCTGTTGAAAATATTCTTGGTGACCCGCCAAGTTTCTGATCCGTATAGCAAAACTGACTTGACGTTTGTATTGAAAATCCGAATTTTGTTGTTGATGGTGAGTGACGAAGATTTCCAGATTGGTTTCAGGTTGATGAATGTGTTTCTCGCCTTCCCGATTCTCGATTTGACATCCTCGTCCGTTCCTCCTGTGGTTGAGACAATGCTCCCCAGATAAGTGAAAGAAGTAACCTCTTTCAAATCCCTCCCGTTGATGGTGATTGGTGCTGGATGTTGCTGCTGTTGTTGGTTGGTTATTTGCATAACCTCCGTCTTGTCTATGTTCACCTGCAGTCCTGTCTTTGCTGCTTCTTCGACGAGTTTGCCGGTTTTCGCTTGTAAGTCTTCGATTTTGTTTGACATCAAACATAAATCATCCGCAAAATCCAGGTCTTCTAGGTTTTTCACGTCGGTCCAGGATATCCCTGTCTTCTCGTTTCCCACTGTCTGACGCATAATCTAGTCCACCACAATTAGGAATATCATTGGTGATAATAAGCACCCTTGTCTGACTCCTGTGTTTACTCGAAACGCTTCGCTGAGTTTTCCGTTGTGGATCACTTGACATGTGCCGTTGTCGTACAGTTGTTGAATAAGGTTGATGAATATTTGGGGTACGCCGTAGTACTCGAGTAGTTTCCAAATAACTTCGCGGTCAACGCTGTCGAAGGCCTTCTCAAAGTCTATGAAGTTGAGGTAGAGATTTGATTGCCATTCCATGCTTTGTTCGATGATAATGCGTAGAGTTGCAATTTGGTCAGAACATGATTTGCCTTTCCTGAATCCAGCTTGTTCTGGTCGGAGTTCTGTATCCAGCGCGTCCTTGATTCTCTCCAGGATGATGCGACTCAGGATTTTACTTGGCGTCGAAAGAAGCGTGATTCCTCGCCAGTTCTTGCAGAGTCCTAGGTCGCCCTTCTTTGGTAGTTTCACCAGGTAACCTTTCCTCCAGTCAGTAGGCACCTTTCCCTCTTTCCAGATCTTTTGCAATAATGGAGTTAGCATATCTGCCGTCGTTTCTGGGTCCGCTTTCAGTGCTTCCGGGGGTATTCCATCTGGTCCAGCTGCTTTTCCAGCTTTCAGAAGCTTGATTGCATTCATGACTTCAGTTTTCGTTGGAGGATTGGTGTCAACTTGCAATTGTGTACGTGCTGTTGTTGGTATTACTGGACGGGTTGTAGGTGGTGGTCGATTCAAGAGTCCTTTGAAGTGGTCCGCCCATTGTTTAATCTGTCTTTCTTCTTTGGTAATTGGGTTCCCTTGGCTGTCTTTCATAGGTTTCACTTGTGTTGATCTCTTCCCGGATAGAGACTTGGTTATCTGATATATTGTCCTCAGATCCCTTTTGCCTGCTGCCTTCTCAGCTTCAGTAGCCAGGTTGTCGTGGAATTGTCTTTTGTCCTTCCTGGCACTCTTCTTCACTTCTTTGTCCAGTGCTGTGTAAGTTGAGTTCAGCGTCTCTTTCTCTTGTCCATCTTTGCATTGAATCATTTTTTCTTTCACCTTTCTCCTCTCCTCTATTAGTTTCCAAGTGTCTGTTGAGAGCCATTCCTTGTCTTGTTTCTTCTTTCTTCCTAAAACCGTTGAGCACGTTTCGTTGAAAATTGCCTTCAGAGAGTTCCAGTGGTCTTCCACGGATGATTCCTCAGTGGTGCCACGTAGTGTTTCCTGCTTTGCTCTGACAGTTGCAGTGAAAGTGTCCTGTGTGATTGTGTCTTTCAGTTTTTCCGTGTTGAACTTGCATTGTGGCCTATCCCCAGGTATCCTCGAGGCTTTCAGCTTCACCTTGAATGTCCCTTGTACTAGATAGTGGTCTGAACCCACATCTGCTCCTCTCCTCGCTCTTGTGTCCAGTAGGCTCCGTCTCCACTTCCTTGAGATTGAAATGAAGTCTATCTGGTTTTTGGTGTGTCCATCTGGTGAAATCCATGTTGCCTTGTGTATATCCCTGTGTTTGAACACACTGCCACCAATCACCAAATCATTGAAGGCGCAGAAGTCTGAGAAGAGTTCGCCATTTTCGTTCATTTCTCCGAGGGCCTCACGACCCATGGTGAGTTCTCTTCCTGTATTGTCTCCTCCCAGTTTCGCATTCATGTCGCCCATCAGGATTTTGATATCGCTCTTTGCGACGTTGTCCATTACTGTTTGTAGTTGACTGTAGAAATCCTCCTTCTTCTCATGTTCTGAGGTGTTTGTAGGCGCGTAGCACTGAATGATTGTAACCTTCTTTCCTTTTGAGTTGAACCTGGCTGTCATTATCCTGGAGGAGATTGGTTCCCACTGCATTAGAGCTTTAGCCGCTGTTGGTGACATCATGATGGCTACTCCCTCGGTGTGCTCGTGATTGTCCTCTGGGTGACCGGAGTAGATTATTGTCTCTCCAGTTGATAGTTGGCTCCTTCCACATCGGTTCCATCTGCTCTCACAGATTCCCAACACTTCTATTTTATATCTCCACATTTCTGCGGCTACCTGAGCAGCCTTCCCAGCTTCGTACATTGTACGAACATTCCACGTCCCCATCCTTATTTTCGCTTTCATCGAAAGAAGGCACATCGGCTGACTGGCTTCCCGAAGGCTTTCACCAGCCCGCGACATTTCACTTACCCGATTCCAGCGAAAAATAAGGTCACTATTTGTAATTTTAGGATTTTGAATATATTTGTGCGTTGAAGTTTTAGTAGCAATTTGGTTAAGTTTTGGGGGTGGAGCTGCTAGCACCACGCCCCAACCCTCCCTCTTTATCCGGGCTTGGGACCGGCTAGAATATTAGTGACCTAGAAATCTAGGCGAGGTTCTCGGAAACTGAGAGAGCTGATATTTTCTTCAAACATTTGTCCCAAATGTACCAGTCTGGCGAAGTCCTGTCACGTCGTAAAGAGCTAAAGTTGGAGGCTGATCGTCTTAGTCTCGGTCCACGTGCTGTGTTGGTTATTGCTGAAGTGCTGTTCAACAACCCTTCTACCATACTAGGTGATATTAAGAAGTACTCTCCACTACTACTACTCTTCACGCGGTCTGGTGAAGATCAGAAACGAGCTCAGATGTACACGTGGGGTGCAATGGCAAAGCTCATCGAGAGGCACGCAGATCAAAATCTGATCAGCAAAGCATGTCATCTCCTGAAAGCTTTGTATGATAACGACATTATCGAAGAGGATGTTATTCTGGCATGGTACGACAAAGGGGTAAGTCGCATATTTGTGTTATCTGACAAAAATTTCAGCCATCTAAAAAGTTCGTATCTCGTGAATTGAGTGCTAAGATTCTATCTCGCTGCGCACCCATGGTGACATGGTTGAGACAAGCGGAGGAGGAAGAGTCAGAAAGTTCCGACGAGGAGACTGAGACCAGTAGCCCAAAGGTATGTGTTTTCCCTGATTTGCTGATGTCTTTAGGTGCCCCAACCAACTAATGGTGTGAATGGCACAAGTGCCGTTGCTACCAACGGGACAGACGCCGAAGAAGACGATGTTGACATCGATGCTATTTAAACCCTGCTTCCGTGTTGCCGCATAGTTTTAATTGACCTGCCCTCTGTGGCTTCGGCTTTTCTTTTATGTTTTCACTGGGTTTATTCGAATAAATGTACTTCATAATCCCATGATTGTCATTTTGCCCTTTGGTAAATAGCTTGAGCTGTGTTGTTCGGTTCGTTTGTGTAGGAGTTATTGCTGTATGTATCAAGTGTCAGATGAGTGCTCATACTCAGACGGGTTAATTGCGTACCATGAGTGGTGTGTTTCTTGTGATCGCTCGCTACTTCTTCTGACGTTCTCGACGGATTTGATTAGTTATTTTTTTAATCACATGGGAACTTGAGGTATACGTAAGCTCCGAACGAGTTGGTCGCTCACAAAACCTAGATTTTTGCTGTTGCCGTATTGAGCATGGAATTTATAGGTGGTTGTATGTGCCGTTAATATCTTCGTCGACTTAGGCATTAGTTCCTAATGTCCCGTGAAGCTGATGTGTTACTTTTGTTATTCCACAGCGTGTATACCCCAAGGTAACAGATAGCAGGATCCCTGTCATTTTTATTTGTTCTTGGTGGAGCTGCTCTAGGAGTCCTCCAATGCCTACCACGCCTGAAGAACTCCACTTTATTATTTAACGTCCGTGCTTGTTTCTCGCCAGTAGCTACGTTTCCGCACCATAAATATTGTGAAATTGACATAACATTATGACACACTCATTTGATGGCCCAAGGCTCTACTAAGTTTGGTTTTCTCCCCTAACTCTTCTTTGTTTCCTGTTGAGTGCCGACGTTATCCTGACCTGAGAAGGTTCAGTCTTTGTTTAGAATTTGTAGGTCCAGTGTACTTGTGGGAGATCTTGATGCACTTAGGAAGCCATGGGATGCTCCACATCAAGATAGCTGTGTGAAACACAGAAATAGAACAGACGAGAGACAACATGCGAGCACTCAATGGCGCTATTCGGAACAAGCAGAGAGTGGGAGATCGGAGCATGTTCAACCATAAAAGTGAAATGTGGTTTGTCAAGATAGCACAGCCCTCTGTCACTGTTCTTTATTCCTAAATTACACGCAACTGACCGAATGGTTACTGACTCTCATTGAGATCCTTGGGGGTATGTACTTACACTGTATATTTGGCCTAGTATATGCAGACTCATTGATGTTGGGTTGGAGTAAGTAGCGCTCTTTAAGAAAGCAGTTGTAGTTTGTATACTGTATCGATGACCCTAGCCACGTCATCGATGTCTGAGTAATGGTCGTTCTTCTCTTGTGGTGGAAGACCCTTGCAGTCCAGGAGCTTTAGAGCCCCATTGAGAGTGACTATGGCTTCCGTTATACGAAACTTAGTCTTACTACAGCAGTCATTGCACAGCCAGTTCGCCAACGCTTGTATGCTGCAGGAGTTGGGCTTGTGCACCTACTATGGAACCACCTCTTGCAGTTATCACACTGTATTCCTCCTTCAACCGGAAATTGGCATATCACTATTGCACAGCGCTTCCTTTTGACAAGCATGCTTTTCAGAGTGAATTGGGACAGAGAGATTCAAATGGGACTTTATATATACATATATGTATACATGGTCCTCATAAATCAGTGATAAAAAACCAATGAGTGCAGAAAAATGGATATATATATATATATATAACTATTAAGTTATAAGAACACAACTTCCTATAATTAAATAGACTCAAGACTGAAACGTAAGCCAACTTCGATCAGAACAAACTGATCTGAAGTTATTCTATAGACGTAGGGAGCGTATAACACGACAAAAGCTAAAATTAAACAAGAGCGTTGAAAATTCATTCCCTTTTCAAGGTTCTATTTCCACGGGAATGAACAGCTTTTGACTGAAAGTCGTTCGTCATGAATGTAATTCTCCGGGCATCTCAATAGCTTTACTCACAACCGCGACTTTATTTCTTCACAGGACTTCACAGAAATCAGCCGACTGACTAAATGCTTCATTATGGATAAGATTTTATTTTGATAAATCACAAAGCGTTGTAGAGTTATATTAACTGTACAACACTGTTTGATTTACCAAAATAAAATCTTATCCATAATGAAGTTATACTCTACCACAGCGCCCAAGTTTTCTACTTATATTAAGTAGATGCTTCATTCACTCATCTGGAGACAAAGTGAGTGCTACCGTACACTTGTATTTAGAAAAGAGCTCTACAATACCACAAAAAAGCATATATATTGGGGGGATACTCGCCGTACTATGTATCACACGGGAAAATACTCTGTCAATAAACACTGATAATTAGCCTTGGACATATTGAACGATATTGTTTTAATGCTCGGACATCCGCATCGTTATCTGCACTTTACGTTGCTGTCATCCGGACTCCACTTCCAAGTTTTTATGTAAGTTGTTGAGTGGTGGTTTGGGTATGCAAAATTGGTCGGAATTACTAATTAGTGTGTCTTTAGACTGGGTGCCCATCCTGTTTCATGGTTGAAGGCTGTAATCATCCACAGGCAGATGGTAGTTGGTGTCACCGAAAATGGCTATCAACATCAATCGAGAGGTTGAAGATACCTTTTACAGGTACAAGATGCCGAAGCTTGCTGCCAAGGTAAAGCTAGATATGACAACCACAAGCCATAACCTTGTAGGTGGAAGGGAAAGGAAATGGTATAAAAACGGTCATCGTTAATGTCTCGGACATAGCGAAGGCATTGTACCGGAAACCCATATGTATGTCGCAAAGTCTACTAACTTGATGGCTTTAGATCTCACGAAGTTCTTTGGATGCGAGCTAGGGGCACAGATCCACGTAGACGAGAAGAATGAACGCTATATTGTCAATGGAGCCCACCAAGCAGATAAGCTGCAAGAACTACTAGATGGTTTCATTAAGAAGTTTGTTTTGTGTCAAAGTTGTGGGAATCCGGAGACCACTATGGTTAGCTCTTCCGTTTAGTAATCACTGACGCTTTTATAGCATGTTAACAAAAGAGGCGGTACGGTTGCTACCACGTGCAAAGCGTGTGGCAGTCAGGGACAGCTAGATGTCACCCACAGACTGACTCAGTTCATTGTGAAAAATCCTCCAGAGCCAGAAGTTACTTCAGCCAAGGCAAAGCAAAAGAAGGGGAAAAAGACAAAAGGAGAGAATGAAAAGACTTCAGGTAACAGTGCTAGGTTAACCATTACGTTTTCAGACGACGACAACGAGGGCAACGCCGGTGGTGGTGATGAGAACAACCGCAACAGTCCAGTTAACGCTGACGAAGAAGATGAGGATGAAGACTGGCTGGAAGACACTACTGAGGAGGCACGACGTCAGAGGATGAGCACCTTGTCAGCTATGGCGAAGTCGCTAGCTCTGTGTGACGATGTAGAACGCTCTGAAACTGAGAGAGCTGATATTTTCTTCAAACATTTGTCCCAAATGTACCAGTCTGGCGAAGTCCTGTCACGTCGTAAAGAGCTAAAGTTGGAGGCTGATCGTCTTAGTCTCGGTCCACGTGCTGTGTTGGTTATTGCTGAAGTGCTGTTCAACAACCCTTCTACCATACTAGGTGATATTAAGAAGTACTCTCCACTACTACTACTCTTCACGCGGTCTGGTGAAGATCAGAAACGAGCTCAGATGTACACGTGGGGTGCAATGGCAAAGCTCATCGAGAGGCACGCAGATCAAAATCTGATCAGCAAAGCATGTCATCTCCTGAAAGCTTTGTATGATAACGACATTATCGAAGAGGATGTTATTCTGGCATGGTACGACAAAGGGGTAAGTCGCATATTTGTGTTATCTGACAAAAATTTCAGCCATCTAAAAAGTTCGTATCTCGTGAATTGAGTGCTAAGATTCTATCTCGCTGCGCACCCATGGTGACATGGTTGAGACAAGCGGAGGAGGAAGAGTCAGAAAGTTCCGACGAGGAGACTGAGACCAGTAGCCCAAAGGTATGTGTTTTCCCTGATTTGCTGATGTCTTTAGGTGCCCCAACCAACTAATGGTGTGAATGGCACAAGTGCCGTTGCTACCAACGGGACAGACGCCGAAGAAGACGATGTTGACATCGATGCTATTTAAACCCTGCTTCCGTGTTGCCGCATAGTTTTAATTGACCTGCCCTCTGTGGCTTCGGCTTTTCTTTTATGTTTTCACTGGGTTTATTCGAATAAATGTACTTCATAATCCCATGATTGTCATTTTGCCCTTTGGTAAATAGCTTGAGCTGTGTTGTTCGGTTCGTTTGTGTAGGAGTTATTGCTGTATGTATCAAGTGTCAGATGAGTGCTCATACTCAGACGGGTTAATTGCGTACCATGAGTGGTGTGTTTCTTGTGATCGCTCGCTACTTCTTCTGACGTTCTCGACGGATTTGATTAGTTATTTTTTTAATCACATGGGAACTTGAGGTATACGTAAGCTCCGAACGAGTTGGTCGCTCACAAAACCTAGATTTTTGCTGTTGCCGTATTGAGCATGGAATTTATAGGTGGTTGTATGTGCCGTTAATATCTTCGTCGACTTAGGCATTAGTTCCTAATGTCCCGTGAAGCTGATGTGTTACTTTTGTTATTCCACAGCGTGTATACCCCAAGGTAACAGATAGCAGGATCCCTGTCATTTTTATTTGTTCTTGGTGGAGCTGCTCTAGGAGTCCTCCAATGCCTACCACGCCTGAAGAACTCCACTTTATTATTTAACGTCCGTGCTTGTTTCTCGCCAGTAGCTACGTTTCCGCACCATAAATATTGTGAAATTGACATAACATTATGACACACTCATTTGATGGCCCAAGGCTCTACTAAGTTTGGTTTTCTCCCCTAACTCTTCTTTGTTTCCTGTTGAGTGCCGACGTTATCCTGACCTGAGAAGGTTCAGTCTTTGTTTAGAATTTGTAGGTCCAGTGTACTTGTGGGAGATCTTGATGCACTTAGGAAGCCATGGGATGCTCCACATCAAGATAGCTGTGTGAAACACAGAAATAGAACAGACGAGAGACAACATGCGAGCACTCAATGGCGCTATTCGGAACAAGCAGAGAGTGGGAGATCGGAGCATGTTCAACCATAAAAGTGAAATGTGGTTTGTCAAGATAGCACAGCCCTCTGTCACTGTTCTTTATTCCTAAATTACACGCAACTGACCGAATGGTTACTGACTCTCATTGAGATCCTTGGGGGTATGTACTTACACTGTATATTTGGCCTAGTATATGCAGACTCATTGATGTTGGGTTGGAGTAAGTAGCGCTCTTTAAGAAAGCAGTTGTAGTTTGTATACTGTATCGATGACCCTAGCCACGTCATCGATGTCTGAGTAATGGTCGTTCTTCTCTTGTGGTGGAAGACCCTTGCAGTCCAGGAGCTTTAGAGCCCCATTGAGAGTGACTATGGCTTCCGTTATACGAAACTTAGTCTTACTACAGCAGTCATTGCACAGCCAGTTCGCCAACGCTTGTATGCTGCAGGAGTTGGGCTTGTGCACCTACTATGGAACCACCTCTTGCAGTTATCACACTGTATTCCTCCTTCAACCGGAAATTGGCATATCACTATTGCACAGCGCTTCCTTTTGACAAGCATGCTTTTCAGAGTGAATTGGGACAGAGAGATTCAAATGGGACTTTATATATACATATATGTATACATGGTCCTCATAAATCAGTGATAAAAAACCAATGAGTGCAGAAAAATGGATATATATATATATAACTATTAAGTTATAAGAACACAACTTCCTATAATTAAATAGACTCAAGACTGAAACGTAAGCCAACTTCGATCAGAACAAACTGATCTGAAGTTATTCTATAGACGTAGGGAGCGTATAACACGACAAAAGCTAAAATTAAACAAGAGCGTTGAAAATTCATTCCCTTTTCAAGGTTCTATTTCCACGGGAATGAACAGCTTTTGACTGAAAGTCGTTCGTCATGAATGTAATTCTCCGGGCATCTCAATAGCTTTACTCACAACCGCGACTTTATTTCTTCACAGGACTTCACAGAAATCAGCCGACTGACTAAATGCTTCATTATGGATAAGATTTTATTTTGATAAATCACAAAGCGTTGTAGAGTTATATTAACTGTACAACACTGTTTGATTTACCAAAATAAAATCTTATCCATAGTGAAGTTATACTCTACCACAGCGCCCAAGTTTTCTACTTATATTAAGTAGATGCTTCATTCACTCATCTGGAGACAAAGTGAGTGCTACCGTACACTTGTATTTAGAAAAGAGCTCTACAATACCACAAAAAAGCATATATATTGGGGGGATACTCGCCGTACTATGTATCACACGGGAAAATACTCTGTCAATAAACACTGATAATTAGCCTTGGACATATTGAACGATATTGTTTTAATGCTCGGACATCCGCATCGTTATCTGCACTTTACGTTGCTGTCATCCGGACTCCACTTCCAAGTTTTTATGTAAGTTGTTGAGTGGTGGTTTGGGTATGCAAAATTGGTCGGAATTACTAATTAGTGTGTCTTTAGACTGGGTGCCCATCCTGTTTCATGGTTGAAGGCTGTAATCATCCACAGGCAGATGGTAGTTGGTGTCACCGAAAATGGCTATCAACATCAATCGAGAGGTTGAAGATACCTTTTACAGGTACAAGATGCCGAAGCTTGCTGCCAAGGTAAAGCTAGATATGACAACCACAAGCCATAACCTTGTAGGTGGAAGGGAAAGGAAATGGTATAAAAACGGTCATCGTTAATGTCTCGGACATAGCGAAGGCATTGTACCGGAAACCCATATGTATGTCGCAAAGTCTACTAACTTGATGGCTTTAGATCTCACGAAGTTCTTTGGATGCGAGCTAGGGGCACAGATCCACGTAGACGAGAAGAATGAACGCTATATTGTCAATGGAGCCCACCAAGCAGATAAGCTGCAAGAACTACTAGATGGTTTCATTAAGAAGTTTGTTTTGTGTCAAAGTTGTGGGAATCCGGAGACCACTATGGTTAGCTCTTCCGTTTAGTAATCACTGACGCTTTTATAGCATGTTAACAAAAGAGGCGGTACGGTTGCTACCACGTGCAAAGCGTGTGGCAGTCAGGGACAGCTAGATGTCACCCACAGACTGACTCAGTTCATTGTGAAAAATCCTCCAGAGCCAGAAGTTACTTCAGCCAAGGCAAAGCAAAAGAAGGGGAAAAAGACAAAAGGAGAGAATGAAAAGACTTCAGGTAACAGTGCTAGGTTAACCATTACGTTTTCAGACGACGACAACGAGGGCAACGCCGGTGGTGGTGATGAGAACAACCGCAACAGTCCAGTTAACGCTGACGAAGAAGATGAGGATGAAGACTGGCTGGAAGACACTACTGAGGAGGCACGACGTCAGAGGATGAGCACCTTGTCAGCTATGGCGAAGTCGCTAGCTCTGTGTGACGATGTAGAACGCTCTGAAACTGAGAGAGCTGATATTTTCTTCAAACATTTGTCCCAAATGTACCAGTCTGGCGAAGTCCTGTCACGTCGTAAAGAGCTAAAGTTGGAGGCTGATCGTCTTAGTCTCGGTCCACGTGCTGTGTTGGTTATTGCTGAAGTGCTGTTCAACAACCCTTCTACCATACTAGGTGATATTAAGAAGTACTCTCCACTACTACTACTCTTCACGCGGTCTGGTGAAGATCAGAAACGAGCTCAGATGTACACGTGGGGTGCAATGGCAAAGCTCATCGAGAGGCACGCAGATCAAAATCTGATCAGCAAAGCATGTCATCTCCTGAAAGCTTTGTATGATAACGACATTATCGAAGAGGATGTTATTCTGGCATGGTACGACAAAGGGGTAAGTCGCATATTTGTGTTATCTGACAAAAATTTCAGCCATCTAAAAAGTTCGTATCTCGTGAATTGAGTGCTAAGATTCTATCTCGCTGCGCACCCATGGTGACATGGTTGAGACAAGCGGAGGAGGAAGAGTCAGAAAGTTCCGACGAGGAGACTGAGACCAGTAGCCCAAAGGTATGTGTTTTCCCTGATTTGCTGATGTCTTTAGGTGCCCCAACCAACTAATGGTGTGAATGGCACAAGTGCCGTTGCTACCAACGGGACAGACGCCGAAGAAGACGATGTTGACATCGATGCTATTTAAACCCTGCTTCCGTGTTGCCGCATAGTTTTAATTGACCTGCCCTCTGTGGCTTCGGCTTTTCTTTTATGTTTTCACTGGGTTTATTCGAATAAATGTACTTCATAATCCCATGATTGTCATTTTGCCCTTTGGTAAATAGCTTGAGCTGTGTTGTTCGGTTCGTTTGTGTAGGAGTTATTGCTGTATGTATCAAGTGTCAGATGAGTGCTCATACTCAGACGGGTTAATTGCGTACCATGAGTGGTGTGTTTCTTGTGATCGCTCGCTACTTCTTCTGACGTTCTCGACGGATTTGATTAGTTATTTTTTTAATCACATGGGAACTTGAAGTATACGTAAGCTCCGAACGAGTTGGTCGCTCACAAAACCTAGATTTTTGCTGTTGCCGTATTGAGCATGGAATTTATAGGTGGTTGTATGTGCCGTTAATATCTTCGTCGACTTAGGCATTAGTTCCTAATGTCCCGTGAAGCTGATGTGTTACTTTTGTTATTCCACAGCGTGTATACCCCAAGGTAACAGATAGCAGGATCCCTGTCATTTTTATTTGTTCTTGGTGGAGCTGCTCTAGGAGTCCTCCAATGCCTACCACGCCTGAAGAACTCCACTTTATTATTTAACGTCCGTGCTTGTTTCTCGCCAGTAGCTACGTTTCCGCACCATAAATATTGTGAAATTGACATAACATTATGACACACTCATTTGATGGCCCAAGGCTCTACTAAGTTTGGTTTTCTCCCCTAACTCTTCTTTGTTTCCTGTTGAGTGCCGACGTTATCCTGACCTGAGAAGGTTCAGTCTTTGTTTAGAATTTGTAGGTCCAGTGTACTTGTGGGAGATCTTGATGCACTTAGGAAGCCATGGGATGCTCCACATCAAGATAGCTGTGTGAAACACAGAAATAGAACAGACGAGAGACAACATGCGAGCACTCAATGGCGCTATTCGGAACAAGCAGAGAGTGGGAGATCGGAGCATGTTCAACCATAAAAGTGAAATGTGGTTTGTCAAGATAGCACAGCCCTCTGTCACTGTTCTTTATTCCTAAATTACACGCAACTGACCGAATGGTTACTGACTCTCATTGAGATCCTTGGGGGTATGTACTTACACTGTATATTTGGCCTAGTATATGCAGACTCATTGATGTTGGGTTGGAGTAAGTAGCGCTCTTTAAGAAAGCAGTTGTAGTTTGTATACTGTATCGATGACCTTAGCCACGTCATCGATGTCTGAGTAATGGTCGTTCTTCTCTTGTGGTGGAAGACCCTTGCAGTCCAGGAGCTTTAGAGCCCCATTGAGAGTGACTATGGCTTCCGTTATACGAAACTTAGTCTTACTACAGCAGTCATTGCACAGCCAGTTCGCCAACGCTTGTATGCTGCAGGAGTTGGGCTTGTGCACCTACTATGGAACCACCTCTTGCAGTTATCACACTGTATTCCTCCTTCAACCGGAAATTGGCATATCACTATTGCACAGCGCTTCCTTTTGACAAGCATGCTTTTCAGAGTGAATTGGGACAGAGAGATTCAAATGGGACTTTATATATACATATATGTATACATGGTCCTCATAAATCAGTGATAAAAAACCAATGAGTGCAGAAAAATGGATATATATATATATATAACTATTAAGTTATAAGAACACAACTTCCTATAATTAAATAGACTCAAGACTGAAACGTAAGCCAACTTCGATCAGAACAAACTGATCTGAAGTTATTCTATAGACGTAGGGAGCGTATAACACGACAAAAGCTAAAATTAAACAAGAGCGTTGAAAATTCATTCCCTTTTCAAGGTTCTATTTCCACGGGAATGAACAGCTTTTGACTGAAAGTCGTTCGTCATGAATGTAATTCTCCGGGCATCTCAATAGCTTTACTCACAACCGCGACTTTATTTCTTCACAGGACTTCACAGAAATCAGCCGACTGACTAAATGCTTCATTATGGATAAGATTTTATTTTGATAAATCACAAAGCGTTGTAGAGTTATATTAACTGTACAACACTGTTTGATTTACCAAAATAAAATCTTATCCATAATGAAGTTATACTCTACCACAGCGCCCAAGTTTTCTACTTATATTAAGTAGATGCTTCATTCACTCATCTGGAGACAAAGTGAGTGCTACCGTACACTTGTATTTAGAAAAGAGCTCTACAATACCACAAAAAAGCATATATATTGGGGGGATACTCGCCGTACTATGTATCACACGGGAAAATACTCTGTCAATAAACACTGATAATTAGCCTTGGACATATTGAACGATATTGTTTTAATGCTCGGACATCCGCATCGTTATCTGCACTTTACGTTGCTGTCATCCGGACTCCACTTCCAAGTTTTTATGTAAGTTGTTGAGTGGTGGTTTGGGTATGCAAAATTGGTCGGAATTACTAATTAGTGTGTCTTTAGACTGGGTGCCCATCCTGTTTCATGGTTGAAGGCTGTAATCATCCACAGGCAGATGGTAGTTGGTGTCACCGAAAATGGCTATCAACATCAATCGAGAGGTTGAAGATACCTTTTACAGGTACAAGATGCCGAAGCTTGCTGCCAAGGTAAAGCTAGATATGACAACCACAAGCCATAACCTTGTAGGTGGAAGGGAAAGGAAATGGTATAAAAACGGTCATCGTTAATGTCTCGGACATAGCGAAGGCATTGTACCGGAAACCCATATGTATGTCGCAAAGTCTACTAACTTGATGGCTTTAGATCTCACGAAGTTCTTTGGATGCGAGCTAGGGGCACAGATCCACGTAGACGAGAAGAATGAACGCTATATTGTCAATGGAGCCCACCAAGCAGATAAGCTGCAAGAACTACTAGATGGTTTCATTAAGAAGTTTGTTTTGTGTCAAAGTTGTGGGAATCCGGAGACCACTATGGTTAGCTCTTCCGTTTAGTAATCACTGACGCTTTTATAGCATGTTAACAAAAGAGGCGGTACGGTTGCTACCACGTGCAAAGCGTGTGGCAGTCAGGGACAGCTAGATGTCACCCACAGACTGACTCAGTTCATTGTGAAAAATCCTCCAGAGCCAGAAGTTACTTCAGCCAAGGCAAAGCAAAAGAAGGGGAAAAAGACAAAAGGAGAGAATGAAAAGACTTCAGGTAACAGTGCTAGGTTAACCATTACGTTTTCAGACGACGACAACGAGGGCAACGCCGGTGGTGGTGATGAGAACAACCGCAACAGTCCAGTTAACGCTGACGAAGAAGATGAGGATGAAGACTGGCTGGAAGACACTACTGAGGAGGCACGACGTCAGAGGATGAGCACCTTGTCAGCTATGGCGAAGTCGCTAGCTCTGTGTGACGATGTAGAACGCTCTGAAACTGAGAGAGCTGATATTTTCTTCAAACATTTGTCCCAAATGTACCAGTCTGGCGAAGTCCTGTCACGTCGTAAAGAGCTAAAGTTGGAGGCTGATCGTCTTAGTCTCGGTCCACGTGCTGTGTTGGTTATTGCTGAAGTGCTGTTCAACAACCCTTCTACCATACTAGGTGATATTAAGAAGTACTCTCCACTACTACTACTCTTCACGCGGTCTGGTGAAGATCAGAAACGAGCTCAGATGTACACGTGGGGTGCAATGGCAAAGCTCATCGAGAGGCACGCAGATCAAAATCTGATCAGCAAAGCATGTCATCTCCTGAAAGCTTTGTATGATAACGACATTATCGAAGAGGATGTTATTCTGGCATGGTACGACAAAGGGGTAAGTCGCATATTTGTGTTATCTGACAAAAATTTCAGCCATCTAAAAAGTTCGTATCTCGTGAATTGAGTGCTAAGATTCTATCTCGCTGCGCACCCATGGTGACATGGTTGAGACAAGCGGAGGAGGAAGAGTCAGAAAGTTCCGACGAGGAGACTGAGACCAGTAGCCCAAAGGTATGTGTTTTCCCTGATTTGCTGATGTCTTTAGGTGCCCCAACCAACTAATGGTGTGAATGGCACAAGTGCCGTTGCTACCAACGGGACAGACGCCGAAGAAGACGATGTTGACATCGATGCTATTTAAACCCTGCTTCCGTGTTGCCGCATAGTTTTAATTGACCTGCCCTCTGTGGCTTCGGCTTTTCTTTTATGTTTTCACTGGGTTTATTCGAATAAATGTACTTCATAATCCCATGATTGTCATTTTGCCCTTTGGTAAATAGCTTGAGCTGTGTTGTTCGGTTCGTTTGTGTAGGAGTTATTGCTGTATGTATCAAGTGTCAGATGAGTGCTCATACTCAGACGGGTTAATTGCGTACCATGAGTGGTGTGTTTCTTGTGATCGCTCGCTACTTCTTCTGACGTTCTCGACGGATTTGATTAGTTATTTTTTTAATCACATGGGAACTTGAAGTATACGTAAGCTCCGAACGAGTTGGTCGCTCACAAAACCTAGATTTTTGCTGTTGCCGTATTGAGCATGGAATTTATAGGTGGTTGTATGTGCCGTTAATATCTTCGTCGACTTAGGCATTAGTTCCTAATGTCCCGTGAAGCTGATGTGTTACTTTTGTTATTCCACAGCGTGTATACCCCAAGGTAACAGATAGCAGGATCCCTGTCATTTTTATTTGTTCTTGGTGGAGCTGCTCTAGGAGTCCTCCAATGCCTACCACGCCTGAAGAACTCCACTTTATTATTTAACGTCCGTGCTTGTTTATCGGTGGTAGCTATGTTTCCGCACCATAAATATTGTGAAATTGACATAACATTATGACACACTCATTTGATGGCCCAAGGCTCTACTAAGTTTGGTTTTCTCCCCTAACTCTTCTTTGTTTCCTGTTGAGTGTCGACGTTATCCTGACCTGAGAAGGTTCAGTCTTTGTTTGGAATTTGTAGGTCCAGTGTACTTGTGGGAGATCTTGATGCACTTAGGAAGCCATGGGATGCTCCACATCAAGATAGCTGTGTAAAACACTGAAATAGAACAGACAAGAGACAACATGCGAGCACTCAATGGCGCTATTCGGAACAAGCAGAGAGTGGGAGATCGGAGCATGTTCAACCATAAAAGTGAAATGTGGTTTGTCAAGATAGCACAGCCCTCTGTCACTGTTCTTTATTCCTAAATTACACGCACCTGACCGAATGGGTACTGACTCTCATTGAGATCCTTGGGGGTATGTACTTACACTGTATGTTAGGCCTAAGAACGGAGTTTCATTTGTTAAGGTGATGGTCTTATTTGTTACTTGGCTTACATTAAGTTTTGGAATTTCATCGTTTACAACTCATGATGTTTGGTGTTATTCGAGGTACTGACTTTATAAATAATCAATGTGATAAATATTTTCACTGTGCCACCGACTATTATCTCACAGTCAGAGTTGCAAGAGCTTGTCACAAAGGTGCATTACTGCTAATTTGTGCACTTCGGAAAAGCTTTTGAATCTGGGTGATAGCAAGGTCTTCTACGAATCGCACCCATGTCACCGATATTTCCTAAATCTTTTTGATAACATCTCGAGGTCCACAGCTATGCATATAGACTTATCTGAGCGAATGAAACTAATAGTCAAAATCTTAGTGGGTTGATTCCATGTTTTGACTCTGCCACTCCTAACTCTTAAAACCTAATCGTACATCAGCCATCGAAGGAAGTATCGCTTCTTCATGTACACATACTCTACAGCTTCTTCGATTTACTTCCACTTCTTTTCTAACTCTCCTGATGATTCGTTATCAAGTCGCCTCTCGTAAAATGAGCGTTTGAATGATTTCCCCATTGTCAAGTACCTTCGAATTCTTTTATTTCTTCTAAAAGTGTTCCTTTCTCATTACCGTAAATTCGGACTGAGCGAATCACTGGATGTCATAAACATCCTGTGATGGATGGTCAGATATAAGATTATCTGAAGATGATGCTGACTGGCTAGGGATAGGCAAACAAGCATTTTGTATCCACCCTGACAATTTGTTATTGACTATTGCATTACTACTGATACAAGTAACTTAATCAGCGAAGTGAACTACAGATTGCGTCTCAATACACAACTTTGCGCAGAAGTGCAGCAGTTCAAGTTCGGATACTTCATTTAGCACATAAACGTAAATAAAAAAAAACAAGCAGAAATATGTGAGAGAAGGATAGGAACCTGAAGAAACGTGACAGTCTGGTAGATATGGGGGAACACATAGAGTGAATGCATCTGCAGCACTTAGAACGAATCCCAGTCATATCACCAATAGTCCCCAACCATCGGTTCTCATCATCCAAAGTGCCTCAGCCAGAGTAATAGTCTCTGCACCTCCCTGAGTGGCTCAAGCTAACTGTTCAAGTTTTGATGGACTGATGCCATGTTTTGGTTTGACGATTCTTTTAAATCTTATCCAATCTATTTCTAAGTCAGCTGCAACTACCCGTCGAGGAAAATGATGGCTTGGTATGCCCAACACACTAGCTATTTCAATCAGTGTAACTTCACAAGCCTATAGATTGTCTTACTTAACACTACACCTGACTTCAGTATTACTTCTCGTGCTATACCAGTTAATATGAGGGATAGACCGCAGACATCTATGGCCAGAAATAGCTACCCTTTTCATATCTTCCAGTGGCTATGGTTCACCGACAGATCAAACTATTGCACAGTATACGCATCACTTAGTCGATAACCGGATATCATGTTTACATAAGAGATGATGTCAATTAGCATATGCCATATGAGCCTTATGCATCAGTGTTGAGATTCTATCAGCAATCAAGTGGACTACACATTCACCCATTTCACTCGCGTTATCTTTATATTGTAGGAAACAAAGAAGACAAATCCTGTGGCATCATTTGACATTTGATATGGCTAAATTGAATGCCGACCATGTTCAGATTTTTATTGGGAGGAAGTTCACTCAGCTCTCCACTGTGTTAGCCTCTTCATTTCAAAGAACTAAGGTGGCATTTTCGTACATTAAACCAACTAGACTTTTGAACATTATAGCAGGATAAAGTGTATTTATGTTTTATTTCGTCGGTATCCTCATCAATTTGGAGGGTTGTGATGAATGGAAAGAGTTGCAATATCCTTTTGTATGTTGGACAATAATTAAAAATATTGTTAAGGCAGCAAAGTATAACGAATTGCTGTAATTATATTCATGATGCAATTGAAGTTCCCTGAAAAAAGGCAAGGGTAGTGAAATCATACTAATGGGTAAAGTTAAACTTTAAGCACCAGTAAGTGCCAACGGGCAAATGACCTCGAACTCAGTAATCATTATACGATAGAGGTTATTTTTACGAATATAAACTACATACCTTCATGAAAATTATGAATTAAAAGGCATGAAAATGTCACACGGGATACCTTTCTCTGACGTGTGACAAAAAACACCTCCCACTTCTGGATGAGATTGTCAACAGAGTAAATTAACCACATTCTCAGTGCATCTACTTATCTAGTTCTCCTAAAGCTAACTTTAACCCTCATCTTTCTTTCACCTAATGTGAAAATATTCCTAAACTAACCGTAGTCTAACTCCAACCAACCATAATGTCGCCCTTATTAGGTTAACCTAACCATAATGTGTCCTCGCTTAGCCTAAGCCTTAACTTAATCTTTGCCAAAATTAACCTAAGATTTATCAGATATCCTATTTTTAATATCATATCATTTCACTACGCATACTTTATTCATGATTGAAATGTTGGTTTGCAGAGATTTGATTGGTTATAGGATTTTATCACGACCTGACATCTTACTTACTTTACTTCGGCTATCTCCTACGGGAGGATGAGCCGGCTTCATGAACATCTCGAATCATCGCTTCCCAGGCTTACTTTTCACACTGGCCACCGGGTGAGCACAGGGCGCGTCGCTTACCGGGAACGCTGTAGCATGGTGAGAGTCGTTTGTAAGAGAGTTCATGAAGTTTCATGGGAATTTGGTACGAGTGATGTCCCCAGAATCGCTCGGCCTTTTGTTTGAGAGTGCAGCTCTAGCCTTTACACAACCAAGTGTGACCTACAAGGCAGTAGGAGTGGAGTAGGGAGTCCACTATCCATTGGCAGCCGGTGACCGGAGTTCGGTTCATACGCCTTTTTGAATGGGGCCAGACATCCAGGACATCCAACAAGCCCTTTGTCCATACGTCAGCCGGTGAGCTCCAGTGAGCTTCATACGCCAGTCGTTGGAGGTTTGGAATCAGGGTTTAGCCATCTCCCCTAGACTGTCATCCAATGGACAGTCAACCTGGTGAAGAGCGCCGGGCATCCGCTTTCGCCTTCTCACTTTGGTGAAAACACCTCTGCCACGTGAAGGCAGTGAGTAGGACTTCCTCAGGAGAGGCTATGTAAGACGCCCGGTCATATGAGAGCATTTCAAGAGGTGTGCGGAGGGGTGGCCAACCCGCAGCGCAAGGCACCCACCCCCTACCATCCTGAGGCTTTGGAGGCATCGGTTAGAGAACTATTGGAAAACGTAGGAGTACTGGACAGCTGTTTCGTCAGCCTTATATTATTGTTCCCTTAGGTTCCTAGTGGAACATAGGGCTTCAACTGCACGCCTCCACTTGCTTCTGTCTTCTGCTGTACTTTTCACTTGCATCCATGTTAATCCATACTGTTTCAGTTCCTCTTCACACGATCTCCTCCATGTCGCCCTTGGATGTCCCACTGGCCGCTTCCCTTTCGGGTTCCACTCGAGCACTGGCCTGACGCGCGATGTCACCCAACGGCCTCCTCAGCGAGTGTCCAATCCATCTCCACTTTCTCCTGCATATTTGTTGGACGATTGGTCCCTGTTTTGTTCGTTCCCATAGCTTCTTGTTTGTGATTCTTTCCGGCCATCTAATCTTCAGTATAGAACGAAGACAGTTGTTGATAAAGGTCTGCAACAGGCTGTTGAAAATATTCTTGGTGACCCGCCAAGTTTCTGATCCGCATAGAAGAACTGACTTGGGACTATCCAACAGTATGCACCTATCGGGGTTTGAACTCGACCTTCCGGCCACAAGGCGAGCTCGCAGATTATTAAGCCGTTTGGACCCGATCCAATGGCTCATGGATTCCAACTTTTGCCAATTCACGGTATAGTGCCACCACTGGCGAATGTCATTGGTGACGACTATTTGTCTTCACACCGGACCTACTGTACCCTACTGTTCACGAATTCCCGCTAAAACTCAGGTAACTACCTACCTGAATAGGGCCAGTCACTAATGAGTATCAGATTCAAGTGTTGGTTTGCTTGGTGGGATTTGAGTGGTTACAG